AGGGAGAACATGAAGAAAGTTGTGGAGGACAAACTGACCAAAGCCCTTTGAAAGCTGGAAGGGAAGCCAAGGGTCAATATGGCCGGTCGGAAGCCCTTTGTGTGTAGTTCTGCGGAGGCAACACAATCTATTCTGGCCACGTTTCTACGGAAATGTGAAACACGCAGATGTTTTAAACTCGTGTTGCTATAAAATTAAAATCCGCGGCTGTTTGTAAATTGATTCTGATTAGAATCGGAGAGACAGCGAACAATAAAATGTGTTCCTAAACACAGGATCTGCCACCGTTCTGAAGAGAGGTGGGGAAGCATGAGGGTGATGCAGAGTGAGATCAGCCCCGGGAATGAAAAGCGAACTGCTGTATCCAAGCTGAAGATGGCCCCGGGGGCCGCAGGCGGAACAGCCGCCTACCCGAAGGTGATGCTGAGTGTTCTTGTAAGCGTTGTAGATGACCGCGGTGTGGGCGTTGGCGTACAGGAGCACCCGCTGCTCTTCGTCTCGGATGTAGTACACAGGGAGAGAACTGTTCCATCCGAACTTCCACGTCATGGTCTGGAAGACAAAGGCGAGACCAGCAAGATGATACCATGTGTCCAGCCCGAGCTGCGACTCCAGGCGCTTCCCTCATCCCTTCTTCCCTTTGCAGCCCCATCCTAGTTCTGGACATAAGTCCGGTACCCAGGCAATGGCCTGTGGGTCCCTCAAGGGTTATCGTGAGGAACAAGGCTTTTTCCTTTATTCTTGGCATGACCAGCACTAGGTAAATAGTAGGAACTAAATTAATGTCGAAATGCATAAAGTGATGCCCAGGAGGTGCAGGTGGGGAAAGCCACAGCTGGTCTGGATGCCACCAGCACAGAGGGGACAGGAGATGGTTACAGTTATACCAAACTGTAATAGTAGTCACCTCAGGCAGAAGGGGTTGGGGTGGGGAGGGTACAAGAAGTGGAATCCTGCCTTTAAAAAAAATTAATAAATAAAGAGCATCTATTCATTTTAACAAAAAGAAGAAACAATAAAGGCAAAAGGAAAGGGAAAAGATAAAAGGAAAAAGAGCTAAACAAATCAGCAAAGCAAAAAGGTCCAGGAAATTTTCAGTTCCGCAGTGAGCCCGAGGCTAACTGGACCCCTGGGACCCCTGGCACAATGCTGAGTGTTAATTGAACTCTTGGAAAATACTTCGTGGTATTTTATTCCAGGCACTGACTAAGGAAGTCCTTATGCAAATATACGTTAATTGCCCTGGCTGGTGTGGCTCAGTTGGTGGAGCCTTGTGCCATGCACCGCGAGGCCACCGTTCGATTCCCAGTCCAGGGCACGTGGGCAGTGGCTTTTGTCAGGTCCGGAGAGCGGGGCCCCGACACAGAGACCACTTGCTCTCCTGAGTGACAGTCCCTGTTGTCCCGGTAGTTGGCGGATCAAGGCAAAAGTCTTCACTGGCTCTAAAACTCAACGAGTCTTTCTTCCAGGCTGAGCAGCTGCAAGTTTAACCTGGAACTCCACTGCTCAGAGTCGCCACACCCACAGAAAGGAGGCTGTCAGTTGTCTGCATTTCCCATCCTCATCCTCATCCTCATCCTCCTCACCATCTCATTCACACCTGCCAAGTGCTCACTATGTGTTAGGAATGAAGTTAAGTACAGTGGGGCCTTGACTTACAAGTGTCCCGACTAACGAGTTTTTCGAGATACGAGCCATCTCTTGGCCGATTTTTTGCTTTGAGTTGCGAGCTAAAATTTGGGTTACGAGCCAGTTTCAGATACCCCACCGCTAGTTGGCGCAG